GAAGATTAATTCTCCAATTTTTTCAAATCGATAGTTTTATAGAAATTAAAAATTAACTTTACATTAATATTTATTAAATTCCTTCATCCCTACGTTATTCAATGTGTTTAAATTCAAATTTCTAAAATGGCATTAATTTGAAGAGTTTTGCCATAAACGCAACTTTCCATACTTTACTGCAAAGGTAATTGCGCTGGTACTGTACAACTATCGATTTGAAAAAAATAGTGAATTGATTTTTGTATGTTGAGAAAAATTGGCGAGTGAATTAGCAATGTTTTTTTCAAATTGTTAGTTTTGCTTAACATAATTCAACTTTGCGTTAAAGTATGAAAAGTTGCATTTATGGCAAAACTCATGAAATTGATGCCATTTACAAATTTGTATTTAAAGATACTGACCAGAGGTAGAGTGAGATTAAAAATTTATGTCGGCGTTATTTCACATTAATCATTGCAAAGATTAATTATATCGAGGCAACATCCGGTTAAAAAACTATCGTAAATTTACATTTTTTATTTTATCAAATAATTTTAGAAAAGTCTTCTGGATGGTTTCAATTAGTTCAATTAAACATTACTAATTTTAAATTTTAATTGTAGTGAGCGATTAAAGTAATTCAATGAAAAACTGGTTTCCCGAATTTGGTAAATTAATAATAAAAGTTAAGATACCTGAAAATTCAATCTAGTACGTAAATTGTAATGAAAAAATGTAATTAAAACTTTCAAGACGCCCAACTCTTTCGACAATTTACATAACTCTGAAAACTAAATTATTAGATAACAAAGACCAAGTCAGATCATTTTGTTAATTGCCTTATACTTTGACACATAACACAATACTGGGACAATTCACGTCAGTCTTCATAAGTCCGTAAACTACCGTCGTGTAAACTTACGAAGATCAGCTTACGAACGAAAAACATACCTTTCATTTCCGTAAGGTAAGCCAAGTTTGACTGCAAAAATTGCCTTCAACATGTTCCTACATTGCGCCAAAAGTCAGTGAATTTAAGTGGTTACGAACTTACAAAGGTTGACGTGAATTGCCCTACTTTGTTGCAAAATGTGATTCCATTCTGAGTGCATAACTTGCAAGTGAAAGTGTTACAGGTAGAGAAAAGTTGTATTTAACATTTGCATACTTAAGAAATAAGGATAAATTCTTGCTAAGAACCATATTTGTACTTGTTCATAGTTGTACTTGTTTACTCCAGTTTTCATGAAAATAGTTTAGCAAATCGATTACATTCTACATACAACTGCAATCTTATTCCAATTCAAAAATTATACGCAATTTATTTACAATAATTTAAAAATTATTGCGCTGTTTTTGGTAACTTTATAGAAGCCGTAAATTTTGTAAAATAACTTTACAAACTTTTACAAAATATAGAGACGCACTTGATCTGAGCAAGTTTACAAAAATTTATGAGCTAATTACCTTCAGAAATATTTGTAAAAGTGTGTAAGTTTATGGATTTTACAAACTTACTACATGTGAATGGCCTTAATTGTTTTTTTCGAGATGTAAATATATCATCAACCTTATCAATACGCTCTCATAGTTTTTGTAAAATTATCGAAATTTTGCGGATTTTACTGGGTTACAAAGATCAGCGTAAATCAGGAAAAAAAAGCCTTATGTAATACTAGAAATATTTAACACGCGAAAAATACATGATCTTAAAATAAACGACAATGAAATCATCCACTCGAAACTTGACAATTTTTTGATAACTTCATATTTATTTTGTTACACTTTTGATTAAGAAGTATTAATTTGAGCGGATCGTGTGCAAAACTTGGAGTGAACTAAATAAATTATAACTGAGCATTAATAAATAAATAGTCACTACCACTTCACTTATTTATCACGAGTGATAAGCAATTATTGTTATTCTGCGTGACAGACATGACATGACCACGGCGAATACCTAATTAATTGGGCATACATACATAATTTATATTTTATTGTCGTGTAATCCACTCAAATTAAGGTGCCGTGCAGGCAGGATTTGCACACTTTTAGGAAACTTGACTCTAAGAAAATTAGTTGTCAACTATTATGTAATATTTTCAAATTTCGCGACCGGGGTTATTACCGGTTTGGTAACAAAATGTATACCACTCAATAATAAATAAATTACCATGCGGTAGAGTCACATAGATACTCCGCCTGGTAATAACTTAGTTACCGGGTTTCTTGGAGTTTGGTGTTAAATCCATCGTATGTGGAGTTCATATATGACTACCCGAACTGGTAATAACGGGTATTACCATGTACTAATGTTACGGTAATACAAAATTTACCACTCTGAAATAAACTATTACCAATCACATATGGAATTCACTAATACGATTTCGAAATGCGAAATTCTGCCAGGCCAGCTTGTCCAATCAAAAAACTAGATCTGGATTATATGAATAATGTGCAAAATTTTGGTAAAATATATATTTGGCATGCAAATTATACAATACAATTAGGTAATTTGTCGGAAAATTTGTAAAATCCGTACGTTTTGTAAAACCATGTTACAAATTTGTACAAAATAAATAGACCTCCTTGATTTGAATTCTGAATAAGTTTACGACAAATTGTAAGCTATTTTTTTCAGAAATATTTGTGAGTTTACGAAATTTACGGATATTACAATTTTACCAAGGCACGTGTGAATTGGCTACGAAATGAGTTTGCATACATCCTTCATGCATAACCTTTTACTTATCAAGTCAAGTGATTGAACAAGGTTTATAGTTATGTTGGATAAGGACGCAGTAGTTTTTTGGTATGTAAATAAAATCAATTTAATTGATCCGGTGTGGGATAACGTTTCATAGAATTATTATTACTCGAATTAAAGTAAGCATCCTGTTTATCAGAATTATTTGAAAATCTTGGAAAAATGGTGCATGCGCAAACGAATTTTTGGACGTACAATATTTACACGATTTTATATATAATTGCATTCTAACTAAATTAACACTGAATTATTGCATAAAATTAAATATTGCTGTAAATATTCATGTGTATAATTAACGTAAGCATATTTACTTAAATAATAACTAAAATTCATTCAATTTAATTAAGCGAACGCACAAATTGACATTGAGAAATTACAATTGAGAAATTACAAAAATTAACGAACAGACACCCTAATTGACACAAATTTTTAGAGAGAAAAATGTATAGTACAAAATATTGCTTCATTCCATGAAAATATTACTATAAAAAATAAGAATAGATTTTTATTTTGTTTCATACGCTGGTGACGAATTGCTGACTTATCGATTTGGTTTTTTAGATTCAATTTTGCAATTTGATATTCAGTAAAGTTTTGACGCCGTATTAGTAAAATTTTAAGAAGTTGGGATTAAAATTTTCTAAGATTTTTCAACTGTTGGGTAGAGGTTTGTTATATACATTACTAACTTTGTGCAATTTTTTTCTCTTTGAATTATTATAAACATTTGGTGACAAATTGGTACCAAAAGTAAGCTTAATTCTGGCATGATTCACTCACAATGCAGGTCTTTCAATGTAAAACTCAGATTTAGGTGGACACATTTTATTTTGTGCACCACAAAAAATAAGGATATCAGTTTTTTTTAAATTTTACACATTTTCTAAATTTGAGCCCGAGGGGCGAATTTTACACTCATTTCCAGCCAAAACCTCGGGCTTTCAAAATTCTAGAAGTTTTTTCGAAGTTTAAAGCGAATTCAAAGATTCGCGAGCATGATTCATCCGAAAGACTTATCTGAATTACTAAAAGTTATAAGCATAGTGAAATTTTAATTTCATAATTTTTTCCCTGCTTTTGAAATCCATCAAAAATTCTTTTAAATTTTTAAATTTTCAAAAAATATTGGACTTGAAATGTTTGAAACCTTAGAAATTGACTTATTTTATCAAATGTATTTCATAATAAAAAATAAGTTCTCGTTGTCTCTTATATAAGTAGTAAGTTTTTAAAGTTGTGGTTAGGTAAATATTTAGTATGAGTTTGACGCTGTACTAAAAAAAATTTTTGAACTTATAATGAAAATATTAACAAGGTTTTTCAGCAGGGGATTACTATTATAACTGGATGGTTCACAAAACTACAGAATTTTGAAAATTTCCTAACTTCAGCCAATTAAATTTTTTTTCGAATTTTCTCTCTCCTTAAAATTCTCATTTTTCCTTGCAAAATTGTAGAAATGCGTCTGCATCTAATATGAGATGACATAATATTGTTTATTTAGCACGCTTTACATGAAATATAATACGGCAAGAAATAGGGAACTAATCTACAAAATTAAATGTATATTTTATACACCGTTAGTATTAATTTCGGATATTTGTTAAATCAATTTTTTTAATTTAGATGCCAAGAGAAAAGCCTGCGGGGTTAATTTTTTTGAAGTAGTAAGCATTATATTTTTTGGTGAAATTAGACTTGTATAATACTCACGGTATGAAAAAACGTGCTAGAATTTAGGAATTTTTTTGCATTACGGAAAATATCACAGGTTTAACATTCGTCTAATTTTGTAGTGCCATACTTTTTTTAAGTGCTTGGCAAAGATGCCCTAAATGGATGTCATAAATGCCCAAATTCGCTCGGCATATATGGGCATAAATACAATTCTAATCACGATACCGTTGCAGCATCGGAATGCCAACTTACCCATGCCAGCTTATCCAAGCATCACGCTTATCCATCCATGAAATGGATAAGCCATCCAGCCGTGGCTTCGATACCGTCACCATTTTCCAAGTTGAGCGGAAGTAGGATCTGTTTTTCATTGGTGAAACGTAACGCGTGCAAAATTCCCATTTTTTCCGTATTTTCCCAACTTTTTCTCTACTTGTTGATCATAATATGATGACAACCTTCACAAATAATAGACTCGTACGTGTTTATTATTGACAGGACAATTATGTGGCGATGAGCGAGTGGCGACGATAAGGCGATGATGAGTGCATATCACAAGGGTGACACGAGCTTTCATTGATTGATAAGGTGATTGAGTGATGAGGGGTATAAAATACGAGTCGAAACGAGATTTTGAGACACAGTGAAAAGTTTGGAGATCCAGTTTTATACTTCAAAAATAAAGGAAAGATGAAAGTAGCTCTGGTAATTTTGGGAGTTGTGGGCGTGGTTTTGGGTGAGTAAGAAAAAAAATTAAGGCTGCCTGGGAGCCAGGCACAAAAATAATTTCTTAAAAATGATGTTTAGGGCTCATTTTTGGACAGAATGGAAAACGGATCGGTAATTCTGTGGAGAAACCCAGTCCCCACAAAATTACCGATCCGTTTTCCATTCTCTCCAAAAATGAGCCCTAAACATCATTTTTAAGAAATTCACTCTCCCAGGCACGGTTAATAGAAATTTTGACGAGAAGTTAGGAAATTTTAAAACTACTGGAAATTCAGATATTTTTAACCAAGTAAACCTCATAAGTTTAGAAATATATGCTTAATTTTGGAATAAAAAAAAATAAGATTTTGGGTGAGCAAGAAAAAAAAAAAAAGGTCGTCTTTATTGATTCCCAATTTTAGCCATTACATTTGAATTACAAGTGAACCAAACCTCACATAAGTGAGAAATAGATGGTCACAGGTTCCTAACTATGGTGCCCGTAGTGCAATGGACACCGCACAGACCTGTGCAACAAGTCAGAGAGGAAAACCACAAGGGAAAAAACTCTCTGCCAGTACTGGGAATTGAACCCAGAACCTCCATTCGGCTTGAAGCACAGTGTGATGACCACTCGGCCACCACTGCCTGCCTAGGAAACTAGGAAACTAGGAAACTAGGAAACTAGGAAAACTAGGAAAGGAATTTTTATATAGAGAGAAGTTATGAAATTTTGGGAATTTTGCAATTTTGTAAACTTCACAAATTTCGATTACACATATGTAAAATTTGCACATTTAGAAATATTTCAACAATTAAAAAAAAATAAAAATAAGATTGTAAATGCGTAGAGAATGTAATTTTCATCGGGAAAAGGCAGGAAATTTAGGGAATATTGCAACTTTTATGATTTTATAATGCTACCCAGAGTAATCCGCAACCAGAAAAATTTCATTTTGCAAAGAGTACAATTTAATAACGTCGTAAATCGTAAACTTTCAAAATTTGCCAGGTTACAAAACTGAAGGTTGAGTACATATTTTAATTTACATATGTATCCATTTGTACCAAACGATTATAATAATAATCCTATAAACTAAATTTGGAATCTTTGGAAACGTTTTGGTTACAAATTTAAAAAATAATATTAATACGACGTCAAACCAAACTCGCACTCGTTCTAAACCCTGAAAACTATTAAAACTATATCTAAAACCGTTGTAGCAATTAATTTTCTTTGTGAAAAGACATTTTGTAAAATGAGTAAAACACATAAGCCGTTTGTAGTTTTTCTTATTTTTGTCATGCAAAAAATATATACTAGATTAATCGTTTCTCTCTATGCGATCATTTGGCCATAAATTTTCAGTAACATTTTAAGATTTGTAGATTTTTCTTTAAATTACTAATTGGTAATTTACTCTTACCAAGAACAATGAATTTACCGTGAAAAACCCACCAAGAAATTAATTATTGCAAGAAATTAGTGCAAGAAATGAATTTTTAGAGCAATAAATGCAAGAAATAAGCGCCATTTAGCGGGAAATAATTAGAATCAAATGTAATACAAAGGGTTACCCGCCAGGTAGCGCATATTCCCTGCACTTTGGTTTTATGCAGTGCAGGGCAAAAAAGGCACAAAAATTTAAATCCTAATTTTTGTAAATTTATTTTCTATTTGTTTTTTTTCAAATTTTTCAAAATTTCTCTCCACAGCCGGCCCAGCCCTGCGACAACAGCCACCAGAACGTATCGTTGGAGGGACGGAAGCCACGCGGGGGGAATTTCCATGGATCGTTACGATCCAAGTTGGTTCCCATATTTGTGGAGGATCAATCGTTAACGCCAACTGGATTGTGACCGCGGCCCATTGCGCGGATTATGCCGCCAACCGGTACACCATTATCGGCGGGGAGCATAACTTGAACACCAACCAAGGCTCGGAACAGTCCAGAACGGTCGCGCAGATTATTAAGCATCCAAGCTATAATCCGTAATTTGAGGCACAAAAATAGCGGGAATTTTCAAATAGAAAGAAATTTAGAAATAGAAGTCAAGATTTTGTGAGAAGTTTTCACGGTTTGCAGTTTTTAAAATATCGGCCAACTTTGTAATTTGAGAATTTTTCGTAGTTTAAGAACATCGAAAAATTGAGATTTTCGTATAAATTACGCGAAAGTTAACTGTTAAGTTTTCAACCGAAAATATGAGAAAGTTGGACAAAACCAGCAATTTTTAAGCGAGCGAGCGAGTTAGCACGATTTAGACACCGATTATTGCAAATGTTTGAAATTCTTACTCAAATTAGGGCATAGATCTGGGCGGTGCATCATCATCAATTTTCATGTCCTTTCCTTCACTGACAAAATTCAATAACCATTTTTTTGTGTAATTATTAATGGACATTGAAAAAATATAATTTACTGCAAATTTTACACACCAGAATTTTTAATTCATGAAATTTTGTATCCCATTGCAAAATATATGTAGATCGCAAATATTCCCCATCCTATATAATAAGTTGGTCATTTAATTTCAAAATTTGATGTATGTTTACGAGGGTACAGAAAAAAAATACATTTTCAGATTATCAAATTAAGGCTCTGTACCAGTAATTCACCAAGGTATTCAAGTACCCTTACTACCCAAATTTCTTGGGACTGAAGCGTGATAGCCAGGGTTCGGAAAAACCCAGGGTTTTAATCAAAAATTATAAAACCCATGGGTTTTAATGGGTTTTACCATGTTAATTGGGTTTTATTTGGGTTTTAATGGGTTTTAATGGGTTTTGTTGGGTTTAAATGGGTTTTATAGGGTTTTATTAGTTTTAAGTAATAACTTAACAAAAATAATTAGGAATTTGTATCTATTCGGAAATTATTTTGTTTTATAACACTTGAAATCTGTGATGCTAAAGGATGGAGTCAATTATTGAATTGTTCCGAATTTTCATATATTAGAATAGTAATGAAATAAACTGCTTTAGAATGAATTGAGATAACGTCTTCTAACGTATAGGAGATGTATTTAACTTTTAGAATGTAGTTTTAAGGTAAAACTCGATTAAAACCCAATAAAACCCATTAAAACCCAAATAAAACCCACTTAACATGGTAAAACCCACTGGGTTTTATTCATTTACAACCCATTAAAACCCATTAAAACCCAATAAAACCCAACCCATTAAAACCCAGGTCGGAATACCCTGGTGATAGCAAGTTTTGGAAAAAAGTCGTTGGTGGTAAATTTATCAACATATTTTTTAATGAAAATATGATGCCACCCAGTACCACCAACTTTGCGAAAAAAATAAAACTGCCATTAATGTTTGAAAAATTTCAAAAGACGTTCACAATTTTTGGGGTACTTTCATAATTCTTGTTCATAGCGGTGGAGAATAGTGTGGCGCAGATGGTATAATGGGTCATAGATCCAGAAAAATGGTGGTCGACAGTTTTTATTGCAGAAAACTTTGCACTGACCCAATTACGCTCTCTTCTTTTAAAAATAGTAAAATTTAGGAAGTGTTTTGGACTCTCTCATTGATTAATCCACCTCGGCTATAGTGTTGACCACAACTTCTAATTCAAAATTTCGTGCAAAATACGCTAATACCGACAGGAACGTCTTTTGAAAAGTTGCACCCGGCTAGTTGTCAGGTAGTATATAAGATTTATGTATTGAAAAAAAACTCGAATTTTCGAATTTTGAAACTTTGAATTCATCAAAATATTGGTGTTCATAAGGTAATCCGAAGGTAAAAAGCAAGTTTGGGTCTAGTTCTTATTTATTTTTCACTCACTTTTGACTTCTTAATTTTTCCAAATTTGCTTCCCCCATTTTTCCAGGGGGAGGGGGGGGGGAGGTTTCATATAATTTTAAAATTAATTGGGTAACTAAGGTCAAAAATATATTTGGGTGTTTAAAGTTGGTACAGAGCCTTAAGTAAAAACGAAAAATATATTTGTTGACGTAAATTTTCAAAATTTAATAATTTGTAATCCATACTTCAAAAAAATACACGATTTTCTAATTTGTTGCAAGTGTTAGGTACCGGAAATATTAATTTTTGAAATGTTGTATTCTATCAAAAACTATAGATTCATTAATTTCCTCCTAGGAATTGAATTTCAAAATTTTTGTGCAGGTTTAGGATACAGAAAAGAATGAGATTTTCAGAGTATAAAGTTTCAGTGAAAATTAAAAATATGAACATTATATTAATTTTTTTATGTAAATTCGAACAAATCGAGTATTTCTAGCGAAATGTATGATCTTCTAATTTGTTGTGGATGTTACACAGTGCGATTATTAATTCCTGAAATTTCGTTCAAAAATCGTATATTTTTTCCCTTACTTGACAAGGATTAAAATTTCAAAAATTTAGAAATTAATTTAAATCAAGAAGAAATTTAGTCTTCAAACTGTAAAAATTTTTTATGATGGCACAAATTCATAATTTAGTTCGCTTAATTTTTCGAAATGGACGCCTTATTTGATTTGTCCATTTCTAAAAAAATTACTGAAAATAAGATTTTAATTACACAAATTCGTAATTTAATTTCAAATCTCTTAATTTTTCGAAATTGACACGTGATTTCAATTTTTCTTATGCTTCCTAAAAAAATATGTACTGTAAGAAAAAGATTTTTGATCGCAAAAATTCGTAATTTAGTTTTAAATTGATTATTTTTTTCGAAATACACATTATTTTAAATTTCCTTATCGTTTAAAAAAATAAACCAAATTTTTTCCAATTTGCAGAAGCACATACGCTAACGACATCGCCCTCATGCGTCTCTCGTCCCCCTTCACTTTTGGCACGTACGTCCGCGCCGCCAACTTGCCCGCTTCGGGTGCCGGGGTTTCTGGAAATTTGGTCGTTTGCGGGTGGGGCACGACCTCGCAGGGTGGCTCCCTTTCCGCCCTTCTTCTCAAGGTCACGGTCCCCTTCGTCAACACGGCGACGTGCCAACAAGCCTACGGATCACAGATTGTTCCCGGTATGATTTGCGCCGGAACGGGAGGGCGCGACTCGTGCCAAGGAGATTCTGGTGGCCCCCTTCACTCGGGAACCACGTTGGTGGGGATTGTTTCTTGGGGTAAGTTTCTGAAAAAATTTTTTTAGTGAGGGTCTTGTAAATGTTTACAATATTCATTTTATTTTTTTAATTGAGCAGTTCACGTCAACCATGCTTTTATCTTCCATCTTTTGTTGTTTCAATTTTTACAAGAAAATTCAAGAATTAGTTAAAATCGTGTTTATACATCTCTGAAAAATGTTTTTGAAAAAAATGGCAGAATAGTTGTTTTTAAAAAACATAGAAAATATTGTGGAGTCATGGAGGCATTTCACGTCAAACCTGGAACCAGATAAGCTTACGAAGATCAACTTACGAACAAGAAACATTTCGTTTATCTGCATAAGGTTTTGTAACTTCGTAAGCGAGATGTTCCCAAGTTTTATCAGAAGTTCGTAAGTTTACGAGGTTACGGAGTTACGAAAGCTGACGTGAAATGCCGCAATATTCGCCAATTCACAAAGTAGTTTCGTAAAGTTTTTTTAATTCGCCATTTACCTTTTGTAAAATAGCATTGAATTGAATTATCCTTACTTCAAATTCATTTTTACGAAAGAAAACGACGCGTATATTTACAAAGCTGTGAAAGCCTCGAGTTTTCGTAAATTTACGTAAATTTACGCTATTTATGGCGTCACCACCGCGACAGAGCCTTGCAGCAGTGACACGCACACAAATTGAGGAACTTTTTAGAACTATAATTTAATTTGAAATTATAATTAATGATTTTCATATTTTATAATTGATAAAATATGAACTTGTGCAAAAATACTTCTCCGAAGATTGACCTATAAATTTTTTGAATTTCCTTAATTTAATTTAAATCTCACCTTGACGTGAAAATCTCTCAAAATTTATTCAAAAAGTAAATATCATCCGACAAAAAAAATTATTTTGAAACGTACATGCTAAAATGTTCGAAAAGTTCTGTAAGAACGACATATCACAACGTATGAAAATTGACTTGTGAAAATTTTTTGTTTTTTTCGCCAAAGTTCTGCAAATTCCTGTGACAAAAATCAATTTTTGAATTTTTTGAATTACTTAAAGACGCAAATATGTTGTAAGAAATATCAAATTTGGATTGATTTACATTTGCAACCATTTATCTATTTGAGAAGATTGTTGGATCTGTGTTTCGTGTGAAACTTCCTTAATTTAATTTGGACCTCGTCTCGACGTCAAAATATCTCAAAATTCATTACAAAAAGTAAACATCATTCGAGAAAAATTGATTTGATTTTCCAACGTTAATTTTTCTATAACTTTAATAAAACAGAACACCATTTAAAATGCAATGTGTAAGAGTCGGCTCGCGGAAAATGTTCATGTTTTTTCTGTCAAAGTTCTGCAGATTCCGCAAAATATATAAATTTTAGATGGCTCTATTTTCATGAACTATTTACGAACAAATTAATCAATCTCAATTTATTTTTATTAGGATATGGTTGTGCCGTTGCTGGATATCCTGGAGTCTACGCATCCGTTCCCTACTACCGAAACTGGATCTCGCAACACACCGGAACATAAATTTGACCGGATTAAAAATTTAAGTCGAATTTGTTTCGACAAAATTGTACAAATTGTAAAAAAATATCTAATTCGAATTGATTATTTAAAATAGTAATAAATTATGCCGAAAATTTATTCTCAAAATATATAAGAATGCTGAAAACATACATTTTGACCATTCATGGATATCTTTATAACATTCTAAAATCCGTAAATTCTGTAAACTTACAAACTTTTATAAAATATGTCCTTCGTAAATATAAGAAACCCGTAAACTAACCAATATTTACAAAATTTTACAAATATTTCTGAGAAAAATTAGCTTCCAAATTTGTGTAGACTTACTCAGATCAAGGGCGTCCTTTTATTTTGTAAAAGTTTACATACTGATTTTACGAAACTAACGAATTTTACAAGTTATCAATGATTGCGTGAATTGGAGCGAGTATAATTAAACATTATTACTCGAGTTTGTCGAGTTGGTACTACAATAAAAAAATTGTTGTACAGTTACATACGCCCAAAATACATTTTTTGAGTTTTTTTTGTATTTTTAGGGTGAAAAAGTACATTTTTTTCAACTGCCAGTTGTTTCTCTCCCCTTGAGTGATTTTATAAAATAGTTTCAAGTTTTCATCAAGATTGCATGTTCTGGGAAAAAGTTGTGTGATTAGGCTCTGTACCAAACTGTTAAAAATAATTAGAGTGTAAAATGTAATATAGGGTTGCCCCAGGTAGTGGTACTACCCGGTACCCGGCTACCCGGTACTCGGCCTAAAATTTCTACCGGGTACCCGGCTACCCGGCCGGGTACCGGGTAATATTTATATATTCAAAATAACGGGAATTTTTCTACTTCTTCAAGAATTTGCTACAATTTTATAAGTTTTAAAAATTACAAGTTAAATTTCTACACTGCATACTTCATTTTTAACCTCCACACCAAATTTAAGATGAAAGTAACATTTTGTAAAAATTGGTATGGGTCGCCTTCTCTGGTTTTACTCACTAGGGTAATACTTTGCTCCCCCAGTCCAACACGACCCCCACAAGGTCAGCTACACTCTAAGAAACCTGGTAACTAAGGATGAGTTATTACCAGGCGGAGTATCTATGTGACTCTACTGCATGGTAATTAATTTATTATTGAGTGGTTTTTGTTTCCAAACTGGTAATAACCCTGGTCGCGAAATTTGAAAATATTACCAGTTGGTAACAAAATGTCTACCACTCAATAATAAATTAATTACCATGCGGTAGAGTCACATAGATACTCCGCCTGGTAATAACTTAGTTACCGGGTTTCTTAGAGTGTAGGTGACTGATGTAGCCTATCTTTGAACTTGTTTCCTATATTTTTGTCCAATAGACATATGTAAAAATTTCAAGTTCTCAGGCTAATGATACATTTATTTATTCTTTCATTTATTTCATAAATGAAAATGAACCTGATTGATAATTCATTAACGTGAGTGCGCTCAAAGTTCATACAAATTTTAAAATTTGTAAGTTGATAATTTCCAAATAAGCGTTGGCCAAGGTTGCACCCATTATTTCCAAATATATTATTTTATACCAAGTATAAAAATGTAATCCAACGGATTATGTTTTTTTGTAGGGTTTCACATTTTAAGTAAGAAAATTGAATATTTAAATTACCCGGCCGGGTAGACCGGGTACTTAAGTATACCCGGCCGGGTACCGGGCATCCTAAAACAGGCCGGGTATGCCGGGTACCGGGTAGCTACCCGGTACCCGGGGCAACCCTAGTAATGTATTTAGCAATGAATTTTTTCAACGTTCGAAACGAATGTAAACATTTAGGTATTCTTGAAAATATGATCATTTTTTCAATTTTCACAATTTGGCACTTCAATCGAGAAAAATCGCAACATTGATGCCACAATTTACCTAAAGTAGTAACTTTAGCATGTGAAATTTGACCAAAACTTGAAATCGGCCTCGATGAATTTCAAAAATATTTGCAAAAAAATGCTTGTAACCATGCCTGTAACCTCATTTCTTATTATGCCTATTTTCAACGATGCAGGCTTTCCATGTTGAATAAACTCTACGTCAAAATATGCAAATGAGGTGTAACGCACAACTAATTCGACTACATATTTTTTGAACAGTAGCCGAAATATTCACAGATATTTACAGTTTGAATAAAAAACCTGAAATATGTAAAAATAAAAATATTTAAAAAAAAATAAAAAAAATCGTTTCAAATTTTTATTATTTGTACGAGTTAGTGAACACACCTGCAAAGTTTGATCGTAATTATAAAAAAACCATAACAACGAATCAGGGAGGAAATCATCACCAAGCCGGTACTATTAGCCAATTTTTTACACTTTGTACGTACTTTGGGAGTAAATTATCACGAAGTAAAATTAATAATTATATGTAGCAGGCTATTATTTCGAATACAATTTTTGTTAGATTTTTGACAATTGTTTGTTTGATTTTGGCACAAATAATCTGTACAACGCTTAATCTAAATCTGTGGTGCAATTATTCGAGGTAAATATTAATGTAAATCTGACATCGGCGTTACAGTCTGAGAAATCCAGTATATTAAATTAATACCAAGCGGTATTCGTATATGACTCTACCAACCAATGTATGATTGATAAGTAATACCGCGTAGTAATATATCGGTATTAAAGTTTTACCATATCGATGGTAAATTTTTACGTCCATGAATAATTTTAATACCATGCGGTAGTAACTTTAATACCGAGAGATCAATGCCTGCCCGACTTTACCAGATTTCTAACAGTGTATTTATTACAGTTAAGTATTTACCCATCAATTACAAAGATATTTGCTACAAGGTTTTTGCACTTGGGTTGCTTTGGAGATTAATTCGATGCTAAATACTACAGGTTGTGTCAGTTTATTCGATTTAAATAAAAAATCCGGACTTTGAGAATTCGTAAAATTTACGCTCTATTTTTTACTTTGTCAAGATTACCAAATTAAAAATCGAGCGGAAGTCCGGATTTTTTAATTTTTTAAAAAATTATTTTTTAGTTGAATAAACTGTAGTAGCATCGAATTCATCTCCAGCAACCCCCTAATTGCAAAAACCTTGGATCACCTACGTAATACGTAGTACACAGACAGTGCGTTCCCACGAACTTTATCTTCACTTGTAATTTGCAAATGCTAAAATCCACCAAAACTTGGAAACGGCGTTGAAGAATTTCATACATTTTTAAAAGATGACGATTTTTCGTCTTTCTAATTAAAATTAGTAATTACGAACTGTGCTGCTGCACAGTCTGTACAGCGAAACTTCATACATACAAATGACACATTTATTATTATTGGCTTGGTTTACAATTTATTGATTTCCCTTCGATAACAAAATCGTCACTGTTTCGGTGACGGCGAAAAATTAATAATCACGTGGTAAAAACTTCATAAAAATGTAAACATCTTTGATGAAATTTTCTCATAATTTGTACACGTTTTTGGACTCCATGCATTTTCTAAAAGTTTGATACTGAACAATGTGTTAAGGAATGATGAGAGGATTCGTTCGAAATTATAAATAATTTCGTGCAAAATTGAGCAAAATTAATTTGCAATAGGTCCTGAAACATTCTTTATGCTAAACATTCACATTAAACATTGACATTGCAAAATAATTTTGAAAAAAAATTGAAGAAGTTGGGAAAAAGCTGTAATTTTTAAGCGGGAGACTTTGTTAGATATTTTTACGGTTTGAATTTTTAAGATGCCCGCCCAACTTTGTAATTTTAGAATTTTTCGTAGTCTGAGAACATCGAAAAATTGAGGTTTTAATAGAGCGCACTAACGTCAAACTTTGCATATTTCGCAAATTTAGCATCTAACTTGACAAGTCTTGCGAAGATTGTGGGATTTTACAAAATTTTTACTGGAAAAATGTTGGATTTTTTCTCCAAATTTACCTTGACATTGGGCATATTTCTATTTAGCAAAATTATTTCGCACACCCATCCTCAACATTAGCCGTGAGCACATGGACAAAGTGTAGGCAAAACATCAAAATCAATGTTCTTATAAGCAGCTTTGTGAGATTTTAGAAGTCATATTTAGTCTCATGACATAAATTTGTTAAGCTTCGCAAATTTGTTAGACTTTCCAAAATATCGTCGTGAGTACGCCCAGGGTGTAAATTATGTGAAAGTAATAAAGTATGAAAATTATGCTAGTTTAATCGAGAATAAATTTTTATGAATGATTTTTAAACGATATTTCTTTAAAAATGTATCATTTTATAATTTGTTGCATTTCCACACCGATTCCGTCGAAAGTTGTAACTGGTAGTAGAATAAGGACATAGATTTGAAAGTGTTAAACTTGAGTATAATTTTATTAAAATTGTGTCCCTTACTTGACATAAATTCGAAAATTATTTATTTGTGTAATTATTAATCGGCATTTCTAAAAAATATACAGGTATAAGATTTTCTAATTCATTGAAAGTTTTATACGTCTCAATTAATAATTTTTTAAATTTTGTGCACAATTGACTTGAAACATGAAGATTCGATAACTTTACCTTGTAGATAGTTAATAAGGTGGTTGTTTATTTTCAAATTTTTTTGAAGGTTTATCACTCACAAAATTTAGATTTTCAGACTATAAAATTAGATGAAAGTAAAAAGTTTGTCACGTAAATTCGAAAAAAAGAATTGAGTAATTTTTTAGCGATATTTACAACAATTTTAATTTATTGCGCACGTTACACGCCGCAATTATTATTTTCTAAAGTTTATAAATAATTTAAAAATATAGATAGCAATTTTAATTTATTGCGCACGTTACACGCCGCAATTATTATTTTCTAAAGTTTATAAATAATTTAAAAATATAGATAGCATACCGTTTTGGTTATCACTCTCTTTGGAAGTAATTTAAATTTATAAGATTTAAAATTTACAAAAACATTTTTAATTGCATGAATTTTTGAAATGTAGTTTTAAATCGGCTAATTTTAGAATTTGTTATTCAATTGAAATGTCGCAAATAAGTTAAAATCGTTGAAATCGTATGTCTATGCATTTCTGAAAAATGTTTTTAAAAAATGGCAAAATGATTATTTTTAAAAATATAGAAATTATTGTGGGGTCATAGAGGCATTTTGCGTCAGCCTTTGCAAATCTGTAAC